TCACCCATTTAAAGTTTGAGAATAGGTTGAGGACGTTTCGTCCCCAAGACCTCTAATCATTCGCTTTACCGGATGAAATTCACCCTGCGAGTTCCAGCTATCCTGAGGGAAACTTCGGAGGGAACCAGCTACTAGATGATTCGATTAGTCTTTCGCCCCTATACCCAGCTCCGACGATCGATTTGCACGTCAGAATCGCTACGGACCTCCACCAGAGTTTCCTCTGGCTTCATCCTGGCCAGGCATAGTTCACCATCTTTCGGGTCCCAACATATATGTTCATGGTACTTGCCGACTGCCCGCGAGCCTGCCCCGGTGCGCCTCCGCCGTTTACCGACGGCCCGCTTCCGGGGACGGACAGCACCGCGGCGTCTTGGCAAGTCCCGGGCCTGCGCCCCCCATGAGGGGGAAATTAAATCCGACCATCGCCCTGACGACTCGCACACGCAACGGCCCAGAGACGGGGAGTATTCACCCCGCTGGTCGCCAAGGCATGGCCGGCGGGCAGCCGGTCAGGATCGGCTCAAGACGCACCGGAGAGCTCAAGCATAGCTGCCCCGGGCGCCTGCCTTTACGCCTTTTGCCAGTGAGCCCATTGACTTGGGCACACATGTTAGACTCTTGTCCGCAGCCATGACGGGTCGGTGGATCACCGACCTTTTGCACACCGCAAAACTGCCGCCAAGCGCGTAAGTTTTTCGACGACCGCCGCAGGGCAGCCAGGACACCGGTGGTTCCTCTCCGCCGCGCGGGTCTCCCCAGACGAGCTGAGAGAGAGTCGGCGGCGAGGTACCAGTCCGACTGGAAGCTTCGACGCCCCCGGCATCGGTCGCGGTGACTCATTACGAGAAATACGCCTGCCGACGCCAAAGGTGATACCAAACATTTTGGGTCAGTTTCCACCACAACACTCCCCACTCCAGTTGGGATAGCCGACGAGCTGAACTCTCAGTTCGACCTTTCGAGTCGCAACGGCTTGGCTCTAACGGTTTCATCGTGATTTTGAACTCTTCAAAGTTCTTTCAACTTTCTCACGGTACTTGTTCGCCATCGGTCTCGTGGTCATATTTAGCCCCAGATGGAGTTTACCACCTGCTTTGGGCTGCACTTTCAAGCAACCCAACTCTACAGAGAGGCCCTTTCCGACCGTCCCATCTGTACCCTCACGGGCGCCGCCATACGGGCCTGTCACCCTCCATGGGCAGTGGCCGCTTTCAAGCTTGACTTAGACGGTATGGGACGGCGTGCTGGACCCTCTGAAACGCAACACCCCTCGTGCCCGAAGACATCGAGGTTATGCGCTGGGCTTTTCCCTGTTCAGTCGCCCTTACTAAGGGAATCCCTGTTGGTTTCTTTTCCTCCGCTTATTAATATGCTTAAATTTGGCGGGTAGCTCTCTCCTACTACGAGGTCGATCGTGGTCTCATCATCCTTAGGGGGAACAAGTTCCCCAACCACGAAGCGGAAGACGCTCTGCCACCGACTTTCTTCACCACCGACATTACCAGGCAGGAAGGTTTGAGGGGCTTGTCGCGGGGGTACCAGCGGCCATGGCGCCGGCACTCCCCCCCCTGACTCCGTTCCTTCTCATTGAGTGGTAAATAGCCAATAGGAAAAGTGTTCCAGCAGAACATCTCTCGCAGAGTCATATACACACACAGTTTTAATGCATATACGCTCGTGTTCCGCCCTTACTCGGCCGCACCTTTGCCGCTTAAACTTTGACCTCTTTCCCCGTTCCCGCATGCCACAGCAGTGGCACTTGTTTATCCGGAGAAAGAGAGCGAGAGTCGCAGTATTAATTGGCGTGAGCGGCCTTTCCGGCTGCAGAACTAGTGCTCTATCCCGGCGAGCGCTGTTATGAGGCGCAACACCGTCTTTAACGCGTTTAGAGAGAACTCCCCCTGCCTCCCTCCCAGTCATGAGATAGACGTGGACTCGTGGCGAACTCTCAAAGAGAACGCCCACACCGCGTCTGACCGTGGGAGAGGGTGGAGGAGCGCGTGAGGAAGAGCACGGCGTCACCCAAGCATTCTCATCTCTCTGCCTGCACCACTACATGGTAGACTGCGGGCCCAGGCGCACTCATCAATTTAGGTTCCACTGCAATGCATGCCAAGCACTCTTTTCGAGGTGATAGACGAAATTCCGGCGGGCTTACTTAAAAGATATCCCGACCCGGTTTCGTTTCTCTCGTGGGATTGAGTGCTCTAGAACATGTGCAGCATCAGCCATGAGCGTCGACGTCATTCGTGTCTCTGTGACAGCAGGCAAAGAGCGCTACTTCCAGTTATTTCTGGCGAGGGCGACAACTGTCGCTTGTTGCGGTTGAATGTGGGTGCGCTAAGTCCATGGACTTGGCAGTATAGGCTTGCTTGTTTTATGTTAACGCGAAGCGTATTAAACTTGTTATGGAAGCTCGAATTGGGTTACCCTGTCGGGAGATGTCAGCAGGGTAAATTTAACTCAAGAAAGCAACCGATGGATGTATATTTCCTCTAATTAGTAGTGGCGCGACAATTATATATTGCTGCCGCCAGTAAATGGTGCCTTAACTTGTCGATGTATCTGGTATTCTTGCGATTCACATACCGACACGCAGTTTGCTGCGGTCTTCATCGACCCACGAGCCGAGTGATCCCCCGTTAAGAGTTGTGTATTTGCCATTTGGTCTTTTTGCGACTAACCATCACAGGTCGAGTCTCAATGAAAGGGTTTGACAGACATAGCCCAAGTCTGTGGTTTGGGTTTGGCCGGACGGCTTGTTGTTGTTTTTTGACACTTGAATTTCACTCTTTTTGGGTCAAGAGGCTTATTCGCCGGTAGTAAGGAACGGACGGGCAGCCGTCCAAAGCCCCGTCCGTCCTCCTCCTCCGGTCTTCGCGCTCTCGCCCGAGTGTGGTCCACCTACAGCGTGGTGGTACCTATTTTTGGTGCGGGGGCCGGGATTGTCCTCTTTCGCTGCTGGAGTTGCCAGAGCAGAGCCCGAGACCGCCCAAATCAGGAGAGTAGTAGTAGGTTTAAGAGCGCCCCGTTCTCTTTCTCTCTGTTAATGATCCTTCCGCAGGTTCACCTACGGAAACCTTGTTATGACTTTTACTTCCTCTAAATGATCAAGTTTGTACATCTTTCCATCACCTCGAGGCGACGACCCCAGAAAACCCTCGCGGGCAACGGGGCCGACAATCCAAGAGCGCCAGTCCGAAGGCCTCACTAAATCATTCAATCGGTAGTAGCGACGGGTGGTGTGTACAAAGGGCAGGGACGTAGTCAGCGCAAGCTGATGACTTGCACTTACTGGGAATTCCTCAT